CTTTAATGGGACATAACTGACACGCTATACACTGGACGGAATGAAAGTCTACAATGTGATGCTTCAACTTATCAAACAAATATAACTACCACCACTATCAAGATAACGAATACATCAGTCATCTTTACATTTCCTCCTGTTTGTAGGCCTTCCACTAGCCCCTTCCTGTCACCCCACATCATTCTGTCACTATAGGTTTACGTTTTTAAAATTGCATGTAAGTGGAATCCAAGTACGTATTTTTCCTGTTTTCTTTTCCAGTATTACTGAAATTCATTAGAGTTGTTACACATACCATATTATTCAATTGTATGGACATACCATGATTTGTCCAACCATTCACCTTTTTATGGACATTGGGTTGCTTCCAGTTTTTGGATATTTCAAATAAAGCTGTTATGAACATTTATGTATAAGCTTTTATATGGATATATGCTTTCATTTCTCTTGAGTAAATACTAGCAGAAGAATGGTGCATAAGGTAGGTTTTAAGAGATCATCAAATTGTTTTGCAACATGACCATACTATTTTGCATTCCCGTTAATGATGTGTGAGAGTTCTCATCAGTTCTCATCCGTTTCAACACTTGGTATGGTCAGTCTTTCTAATTTCTAACATTTTGATAAGTATGGAGAAATATTTCTTTTGTTTTGTTGTTCTTTGTTCTGTTCCATTGGTATATTTTGTTTTGTGGTAGTGGGGACTGAATCTAGGACCTTCACACCTGAGCCACTTCCCCCATCCTTTTATAAATTTTGAGACAAGGTCTTGATAAGTTTCTTAAACTGGGCTCGAACTTGCAATCCTTACACTTTAACCTCCCAGATTTCTGAGATTACAGGCATGTGCACCATGACTAGTTTCTCCTTTTTTTTTTTTTTTGGTACTGGGAGTTGAACTCATAACCTCACATTTGTCAGGCAGGTGCTGTGCCACTAAGATAAATCCCTAGCCCTCTCATTGTATTTTTAATGTGCATTTTTCTCAGGCTAAACCAAGGGCATTCTTAAAATGTGATTTTTTTTTGTCTATTCAACTTCTCTGGTGAAATATCTATCCAAACATTTCATAACTTAATCCTAGAAATAACCCTCATCACTTCTGCCACATTCTATTTATTAAAAAGGTAAGTCAAGGCCACATTCAATGGGAAGGGGTTTCTTTTTTTTTTTTTTTTTTTTTAATTTTTTATTTTAAAGAATAAAAGAAGGATAACATAATAATAGGGGGGACTTAGCAAATTACAGACAAAATGGTAGGAAATTAT